CCTCGTCTCCCAGGCATGGCGTCTCGTTTCCTTGTCTCAGGTCTTCCCCCGTCCCTCACCCCCCTTCCCCCGGGGCCTGCCCCTGCCTGCGTCCCCTGCGTCGAGGGGCGGCAGCGTGCTGCCCCTCACTCCTCCCAGTTTCCTCCGACAGAGGCCCCGCTGCAGACGCTTCACATGGACGTGTGGGGCCCAGCCCGCGTCCGTGGATAGGGTCACGAGCGCTACTTCCTGCTGGTAGTTGATGACAACTCGCGTTACACCACAGTCTTCCCCTTGCGCAGCAAGGGTGATGTCACTGAGGTGTTGATCGACTGGATCCGCGCAGCTCGTCTCCAGCTCAGGCGGAGCTTCGGCTCGGACTTTCCTGTTCTGCGTCTGCACCCTGACAGAGGTGGAGAGTTCTCCTCTGGCCTCCTGCGAGCCTACTGTCGTGCACGAGGCATCCGCCAGACCTTCACACTTCTGGACTCTCCACAGCAAATGGGATTGCTGAGCGCCGCATTGGCATGGTCATGGACGTCGCTCGTACGTCCATGATGCATGCGGCTGCTCCCCATTTTCTGTGGCTGTCTGCGGGTCGGTACGCGGCGCATCAGATCAACCTTCAGCCCAGGGTCTCCATGCCGGAGACCTCCCCAGCCTTGCTGTGGACGGGGAAGGTTGGCGATGCGTCTGCGTTCCGTGTCTGGGGATCTTGGGCGTTTGTCCGCGACTTGTGTGCGGACAAGCTGTCCCCTCGTGCTGCTCCTTGCGTCTTCCTGGGTTTCCCCCCTGACGCACCAGGGTGGCAGTTCTACCACCCCACCTCTCGCCGTGTTCTGTCCTCCCAGGACGTCATGTTTGACGAGTCGGTCCCCTACTACCGCCTCTTCCCCTACCGCACTCTGTCCCTCCCCCCGCCACCGCTCTTCGTTGTGCCAGGTCCCCCCCCGGTAGACCCCCTCCCCCCTCAGGGTCCTGCCCCTTCAGGTGTGTCCCAGGTAGACGCATTCGAGCCTGTCAAGGTAACTGGTGACTTTGGTGCTGCTGAGGGTGCTGAGCCTGGGGGTGCTGACTCTGGGGGTGCTGAGGCTGAGGGTACCGCTACTGGGGGTGTTGAGCTTGGGGGTGCTGAGCCTGGGGGTGCTGCGACTAGGGGTCCTGAGCTTGGGGGTGCTACACCTGGGGGTGCTGAGCCTTGGGGTGCTACACCTGGGGGTGCTGAGCCTGAGGGTGCTACGACTGGGGTTGCTGAGCCTGGGGGTGCGGAGCCTGCGGGAGCTGGGCCTGCTCGTGTTGCGTCTGGCGGTACTGCGCCTAGAGGTTCGTCTCGGCGGGAGCCACTCTCTCCATAGGAGTCGCGCGAGTGGTTTTCCCGGCGCTGGAGGCGTACTGCTGGAGCTGGAGGTACTTTGGCTACTGAGGGTGCTGGTGTCGCGGGTCCCGGAGGTGCTCGTACTGGGAGTACTGGAGCTGCTGGGCCTGCGGGTTCGACTGGAGCTGGAGCTGCTGAGGGTGTTGGCGCTGAGGCTACTACTGGCGGTCCTGCTGGGGGTGCTACTGGTGCTGCTGGAGGTCCTGGAGCTACTGGAGCTGCTGCGGGTACTGGAGCTGGAGGTGCTGCTGGCGCTGGTGCTTTTGCTGGGGGTACTGGTGCTGTCCCTGCTGTGTCTGGAGTTGCCACGCGGCCTCGACCGTACTTCGTTCCGCTCCTTCAGCAGGTCCTTGGTCTTCCGCCTTCTACTGGTTCTCCTCCTCCCTTAGAGTGTCCACAGCCTGTCCCGTCAGCGTTACAGTTACAGCCGGCCTCCCCTTTGCCTGATCCTTCTCCCTACACTGGTCCTACTGGAGGTCTTGCTGAGCGTCGTGAGCCTGCGTCTCGCCCTGCGTCGCCTGACTGTCCTCCTCGCACTAGTGGTCGTGGTTCGCGTCAGCGTCCTCCTCCTATCCCTGGCCCGCACCGGATGTCTGTGCGTCCGTCCACTGCTCCTATGCGTGCCCCTTTGCCTTCTCCTCCTGAGTCCTCTCTTCCTACTCTTGCCAACCCTGAGTCGGACTCTCTTCGTGCTACCAGTCCTACTGTCACGCGTCTCCTTGCTATTGTCGTCAGTGACCCTTCCTTTGAGTCCACTGCTGCGTCTGCCCTAGTTGCTGAGCTCGTCGACTTTGCTGCTCGCTGTCGCCTAGACTACGCTGCTAGTCTTGTCGCTGAGTCTGAGTCTGTCTGTCCTCCGTCCGTCGGGGGTGAGTGTGCCCTTGGCACGGACGTCCTTGAGGACAGGCAGAAGGAGTTCCAGTGTCTGGCTGCTGCTTCACCTCATCCCGTGTCCGTACTGCTTACCCCTGAGGGAGACCCGGATGCACTTGACATCCCGACTCCGCCGTCTTACGCGGAGGCGATAGAGGGTCCCTACTCCTCTCAGTGGCAGGCAGCTATGGACACAGAGATGGCTTTGTGGAAGTCCACAGGCACCTACGTTGACGAGGCTCCCCCGCGTTGGGCGAACATCGTCAGTGGCATGTGGATTTTTAGGGTGAAGCGGCCACCGGGTTCTCCGCCTGTCTTCAAGGCGCGTTACGTGGCTCGAGGCTTCAGACAGCGGCAGGGAGCTGACTACTTTCAGACCTTCTCTCCCACCCCGAAGATGACCACTCTTCGGGTACTGCTGCACGTAGCTGCTCACCGTGACTATGAGCTGCACACTATTGACTTCAGCACTGCTTTCTTGCAGGGCAGCCTGCACGAGGAGATCTGGCTGCGCTGCCCACCTGGCTTCACTGGGTCTTTTCCTCTTAGCACCCAGTAAAGCCTCAGGCGGCCAGTCTACGGTCTCCGCCAGGCACCGCGTGAGTGGCACGACACACTGAGGACTACGCTTGCGGCTCTTGGGTTTGCTCCTTCTACTGCCGACCCGTCGCTGTTTCTGCGCACCGACACTTCTTTGCCGCCGTTCTACATCCTAGTGTACGTCGACGACTTGGTCTTTGCCACAGCTGACACTGCTGGACTCGCCTACGTGAAGTCCGAGCTGCACAAGAGACACACGTGCACAGACCTGGGTGAACTGCGCAGCTACCTTGGCTGAGACAGAGCACCCCGCACCATTACCCTGACTCACTCACACCTGGTCCTTCAGCGCTTCGGCTTCACGTACTCCTCGCCTCAGGCCACTCCTCTGCCTACTCGCCACTCACTCTCAGCTCTGCCTTCGGATGAGTCCGTAGAGTCGAGTGGCCCGTACCCAGAGCTTGTTGGCTGCCTCATGTACCTGATGACCTGCACACGACCTGACCTTGCATACCCTCTTAGCATTATCGCACGCTATGTTGCTCCTGGGAGACACAGACCGGAGCACATGGCTGCAGCGAAGAGGGTGTTGCGCTACTTGTGCAGTACGTCGGGCATGGGGCTTGTGCTTGGAGGGCGGAGTCCAGTGTTCCTCACTGGGCACGCAGACGCTTCTTGGGCTGACGACCAGGCTACGCAGCGGTCGTCACCGGGTTACACCTTCAGCCTTGGTTCCGGCTCTGTTTCGAGGCGGGCTACCCGCTCGTCTTCTGTTCTCGGCTCCAGTTGTGAGGCCGAGATCTACGCAGGAGCCATGGCTGCACAGGAGCTTCACTGGCTCACCTACCTGCTGACTGACCTCGGAGATCCGCCTCGTTCTCCTCCAGTTCTGTACGTAGACAACAAGGCCATGCTGGCCTTGTGTCGAGAGCAGAGACTGGAGAACAGAACAAAGCACATTGCTCTCCGCTACTTCCTTGCTCGTGAGCTACAGGAGCGTGGTCAGTTGCGGCTTGCGTACGTGGCCTCTGAGGCCAACACTGCTGATATCTTCACCAAGGCACTTGCGCCTTGTGATCATCAGCGCTTTCGTGCTCAGCTGGGACTTCTGCCTGCCTTGCCTCACTTGCTCACCTCTTGACCTTGCTTGTACTGTTACATATATATATGCACCTGCCCTTACTTGTCTTGTCTTTTATATATATGTACTCCTGCATGTGAACTAGCCACCTTGAACTTGTGCTCGGAATGTGTGGTGACTTTGAGATCCACCCTCAGCTTGCTTTGCTTTGCTTTGCTTGACTGGTCTTGTGACCTCTTGTTCTCCCCCACTTTGCCTATGGGGGTGTGTCAGAACATTGTAGCTTATACATTGTGTGTAGGCTGTAGTGGGGTATCCCATAAGGGGTACAACCCAATTAGGGTTAGTACTTGTACCGACCTGTTTCATAGTTCATTCATCCTTGTTTCTTCTCATTCTTATACGAAGAAAAGTTCGGCGCCTACAATTTCGGCCGTTTTTGCAGCCAAGTGCCTAGAAAGCGTGTGGATCCCTATAGGGAAGAACACTCAAAAACCTGTATTTGATTGCGTTTTTGAGTGGCCCATGTTCAAATACACCTACTAGAGCCTTTTTGGTCTCGTGCTTTCGCGAAGCAAAGTTCGGTGACAACGATTTCGGCCGATTTCTCCAGCTTTCCATCACCCCGCCCCATTCTCCCGCTTTCCATCACCCCGCCCCATTCTCCCGCTTTCCATCACCCCGCCCCATTCTCCCGCTTTCCATCACCCCACCCCGTTCTCCCGCTTTCCATCACCCCGCCCCATTCTCCAGCTTTTCATCACCCCGCCCCATTCTCCAGCTTTCCATCACCCCTGGCCCATTCTCCCGCTTTCCATCACCCCGGCCCATTCTCCCGCTTTCCATCACCCCGCCCCATTCTCCCTCCTTCCATCACCCCGCCCCATTCTCCCTCCTTCCATCACCCTGCCCCATTCTCTCGCTTTCCATCACCCCGCCCCATTCTCCCGCTTTCCATCACCCCGCCCATTTCTCCCCATTCACCCGCTTTCCATCACACCGCCCGAATCTCCCGCTTTCCATCACCCCGCCCCATTCTCATGCTTTCCATCACCTAGGCCCATTCTCCCTCCTTCCATCACCCTGCCCCATTCTCCCTCCTTCTATCACCCCGCCCCATTCTCACGCTTTCCATCACCCCGCCCCATTCTCATGCTTTCCATAACCTTGGCCCATTCTCCCTCCTTCCATCACCCTGCCCCATTCTCCCTCCTTCTATCACCCCGCCCCATTCTCACGCTTTCCATCACCCCGCCCCATTCTCCCGCTTTCCATCAACCTGCCCCATTTTCGCGCTTTCCATCACCCCACCCCATTCTCCCGCTTTCCATCACCCCGCCCCATTCTCCTGCTTTCCATCACCCCGCCCCATTCTCCCGCTTTCCATCACCCCGGCCCATTCTCCCACTTTCCATCACCCCGACCCATTCTCCCACTTTCCATCAACCCGCCCCATTCTCCCGCTTTCCATCTCCCCGCCCCATTCTCCCACTTTCCATCACCTCGCCTCATTCTCCCGTTTTCCATCACCTCGCACCATTCTCCCGCTTTCCATCACCTCGCCCCATTCTCCCTCCTTCCATCACCCCGCCCCATTCTCCCGCTTTCCATCACAATGCGCCATCCTCCCGCTTTCCATCACCCCGCCCCATTCTCCCTCCTTCCATCACCCCGTCCCATTTTCCCGCTTCCCATCACCCCGCCCCATTCTCCCGCTTTCCATCACCCCGCCCCATTCTCCCGCTTTCCATCACCCCGCCCCATTCTCCCGCTTTCCATTACCCCGCCCCATTCTCCCTCCTTCCATCACCCCGCCCCATTCTCCCACCTTCCATCACCCCGCCCCATTCTCCCGCTTTCCATCACCCCACCCCATTCTCCCGCTTTCCATCACCCTGCCCCATTCTCCCGCTTTCCATCACCCCGCCCCATTCTCCCACTTTCCATCAACCCACCCCATTCTCCCGCTTTCCATCACCCCGCCCTATTCTCCCGCTTTCGATCACCTCGCCTCATTCTCCCGCTTTCCATCACCCCGCACCATTCTCCCCCTTTCCATCACCTCGCCCCATTCTCCCTCCTTCCATCACCCCACCCCATTCTCCCGCTTTCCGTCACCCCGCCCCGTTCTCCCGCTTTCCATCAACCCGCCCCATTCTCTCACTGTCCATCACCCCACCCCATTCTCCCTCCTTCTTTTTCCCCGCCCCATTCTCCTGCTTTCCATCACCCCGCCCCATTCTCCCGCATTCCATCACCCGGACTCATTTTCCCGCTTTCCATCACTCCGCTCCATTCTCCCACTTTCCATCACCCCGCCCCATTCTCGCGCTTTCCATCACCTCGCCCCATACTCCCGCTTTCCATCAGCCCGCCCCATTCTCCCTCTTTCCATCACCCCGTTCCATTCTCCCTCCTTCCATCACCCCGTCCCATTCTCCCGCTTTCCATCACCTCGCCCCATTCTCCCGCTTTCCATCACCCTGCCCCATTCCCCCCACTTTCCATCACCCCACCCCGTTCTCTCTACTTCTATTACCCCGCCCCATTCTCCCGCTTTCCATCACCCCGCCCCATTCCCCCGCTTTCCATCACCCACCCCATTCTCGCGCTTTCCATCACCCCGCCCCATCCTCCCGCTTTCCATCACCTCGCCTCATACTCCCGCTTTCCATCACCCCGCCCCATTCTCCCTCCTTCCATCACCACGCCCCATTCTCCCTCCTTCCATCACCCCGCCCCATTCTCCCGCTTTCCATCACACCGCCCCATTCTCCCGCTTTCCATCACCCCGCCCCATTCTCCCTCCTTCCATCACCCCGCCCCATTTTCCTGCTTTCCATCACCCCACCCCATTCTCCCACTTTCCATCACCCCGCCCAATTCTCCCGCTTTCCATCATCCCGCCCCATTCTCCTGCTTTCCATCACCCCGCCCCATTCTGCCACTTTCCATCACCTCGCCCCATTCTCCCGCTTTCCATCACCCCGCCTCATTCTTCCGCTTTCCATCACCCCGGCCCATTCTCCCGCTTTCCATCACCCCGCCCAATTCTCCCGCTTTCCATCACCCCGCCCCATTCTCCTACTTTCCATCACCCCGCCCCATTCTCCCGCTTTCCATCACCCCGCCCCATTCTCCCGCTTTCCATCACCCCGCCCCATTCTCCCGCTTTCCATCACCCCGCCCCATTCTCCGTCCTTCCATCACCCTGCCCTATTCTCCCACCTTCCATCACCCCGCCCCATTCTCCCGCTTTCCATCACCCCGCCCCATTCTCCCACTTTCCATCACCCCGCCCCATTCTCCCGCTTTCCATCACCGGCCCCATTCTCCCACTTTCCATCAACCTGCCCGATTCTCCCGCTTTCCATCACCTCGCCTCATTCTCCCGCTTTCCATAACCCGGCACCATTCTCCCGCTTTCCATCACCTCGCCCCATTCTCTCTCCTTCCATCACCCCGCCCCATTCTCCCGCTTTCCATCACAACGCCCCATACTCCCGCTTTCCATCACCCCGCCCCATTCTCCCTCCTTCCATCACCCCGCTCCATTTTCCCGCTTTCCATCACCCCGCCCCATTCTCCCGCTTTCCATCACCCCACTCCATTCTCCCGCTTTCCATCACCCCGCAGCATTCTCCCGCTTTCCGTCACCCCGCCCCATTCTCCCGCTTTCCATCACCTCGCCCCATTCTCCCGCTTTCCATCACCCCACCCCATTCTCCCTCCTTCCATTACCCCGCCCCATTCTCCCGCTTTCCATCACCCCGCCCCATTCTCCCGCTTTCCATCACCCACCCCATTCTCCCGCTTTCCATCACCCCGCCCTTTTCTCCCGCATTCCATCACCCCGACTCATTTTCCCGCTTTCCATCACTCCGCCCCATTCTCCCGCTTTCCATCACCCCGCCCCATTCTCCCGCTTTCCATCACCCCACCCCATACTCCCGCTTTCCATCACCCCGGCCCATTCTCCCTCCTTCCATCACCCCGCCCCATTCTCCCTCCTTCCATCACCCCTCCCCATTCTCCCGCTTTCGATCACAACGCCACATTCTCCCCTTTCCATCACCCCGCCCCATTCTCCCCCTTTCCATCACCCCGCCCTATTCTCCCGCTTTCCATCACCCCGCCTGATTCTCCCGCTTTCCATCACCCCGCCCCATTCTCCCGCTTTCCATCACCCCGGCCCATTCTCCCGCTTTCCATCACCCCGCCCCATTCTCCCGCTTTCCATCACCCCGCCCCATTCTCCCGCTTTCCATCACCCTGCCCCATTCTCCCACTTTCCATCAACCTGACCCATTCTCCCGCTTTCCATCACCTCGCCCCATTCTCCCTCCTTCCATCACCCCACCCCATTCTCACGCTTTCCATCACCCTGCCCCATTCCCCCGTTTTCCATCACCCCGCCCATTCTCCGACTTTCCATCACCCCACCCCATTCTCCCTCCTTCCATTACCCTGCCCCATTCTCGCGCTTTCCATCACCCGCCCCATTCTCCCGCATTCCATCATCCCCACTCATTTTCCCGCTTTCCATTACTCCGCCCCATTCTCCCGCTTTCCATCACCCCGCCCCATTCTCCCGCATTCCATTATCCCCACTCATTTTTCCGCTTTCCATTACTCCGCCCCATTCTCCCGCTTTCCATCACCCCGCCCCATTCTCCCGCTTTCCATCACCCCGCCCCATTCTCCCGCTTTCCATCACCCCGCCCCATTCTCCCGCTTTCCATCACCCCGCCCCATTCTCCCTCTTTCCATCACCCCGCACCATTCTCCCGCTTTCCATCACCTCGCCCCATTCTCCCTCCTTCCATCACCCCACCCCATTCTCCCGCTTTCCGTCACCCCGCCCCATTCTCCCACTTTCCATCACCCCGCCCCATTCTCCCACTTTCCATCACCCCACCCCATTCTCCCTCTTTCCATTACCCCGCCCCATTCTCCCGCTTTCCATCACCCCGCCCCATTCTCCCGCATTCCATCACCCGACTCATTTCCCGCTTTCCATCACTCCGCCCCATTCTCTCGCTTTCCATGACCCCGCCCCATTCTCCCGCTTTCCATCACCCCGCCCCATTCTCCCGCTTTCCATCACCCTGCATTCTCCCGCATTCCATCACCCTGCCCCATTCTCCCGCTTTCCATCACCCCGCCCCATTCTCCCGCTTTCCATCACCCCGCCCCATTCTCCCGCTTTCCATCACCCCGCCCCATTCTCCCTCCTTCCATCACCCTGCCCCATTCTCCCGCTTTCCATCACCCCGCCCCATTCTCCCGTTTTCCATTACCCCGCCCAATTCTCCCCATTCTCCTGCTTTCCATCACCCCGCCCGAATCTCCCGCTTTCCATCACCCCGCCCCATTCTCCCTCCTTCCATCACCCCATCACAAAAACCCTATGCCAAGTTTGGACGAATTTTGATTGGGATTGTCTTCGCGTAAAAAATTCGGGACCGAATTTCGACCGACGGTTTGAGTCATCTGATAGGAGCTCCGACACACATCTCGCGACAAGGCTTGGCTCGGGTCAAGTTCCAATTTGGCACGCGTGCTGTTCCGGCTGACATTCGCGCGCAATCCGTTTAGGGTCAGTTTTGTGACCAAATCATTTAAAAATGGATTTTGTTTTTGTTTTATTCTGGGAATTGAGGATTTCAGAATTACATTCAATATTCGCGGGTTACAGCTTCCATTATTCAGCATTCTAACAACCAGCAGTTTTAACACCCAGTCAAATAGTCTACGCAATGGTGGGCCCTGCAAGCCCCCGGTAGGCAAGAACAACATCTCCAAGGTCGCCATCGTCGATGAGGAACTTGTTCGGGAAGACGAACGCACCCTGAGCCGGATCTTGTGGGATGCGTCGCTCCACAACGGCAAAGTGTATCATCTGTTTGACCTTGTCACACCACTCGAAGTAGTCCGGCCTGTTTTGTTCCGGCCGGGCCGGAATACGCTTGCGGCGCTTGTCCTGCAGAAGGGGCCACTCGATCTGCAATGTGGTGTAGGGTTGGGTGGATGGTGTATGAGGGGAGGTTATGGGCATATGATCCAACTGAAAGCAGTGAAGACGTCACACCCTACGTAACCGCAAACGCCTAAGCGACCTGGGTTTTAGATGAAGTATAGGCGAGGGGTTTAGGGGATGAGGCATGGGTGTAGTGTCACTTATCTACCTCCTTACCGAAAACAGGCCCCATGCCACCATGCAGCTCTTGAACTTGGTGAACACGACCCCGCTCCTCTTGAAGGAGAGCTTGAACGCATAAGCAAACAAGGGGTTGCTGAAGGGCGTTCCGGTGGCCTTGTCAAAGTGCCAGTTGAGGGTCCACTGTTCTGCATTTTGGGAGGGAGCGTATGGGTTGGAAAGGGGGTGCAGATAGATCAAGTGGGGGGGTGAGAGACAGGGTCAGAGTACCACGGCACGGTTATTTGTAGCTGCTGACTGGCTTATGGGCAGGGGGATATGGTGTGTTTGAGACGCACATACCATCTCTGTACTCGGCCAGGAGCTGCTCGTCGTTGAACCACTTCTCCGGGCGTAGCTCAGTGGGCAGGCTATCCACCGCATTGGCGTAATCGGAGAGACCCATGCCGGCGTACGTTGCTGGCCTGAGGGTGCTTTTGATTGTTGACCTGGTTGATGACATCTGGTGGTTGAAGACACCCATGGTTGACTTGTCGTTGTGCAACCACAGCAGCTTCATTGACTCTAGCCCTTCGTGAGAAAAGTGGACAGCGAACGCCTCGAACACTTCCTCCGGTGCAGGGTAATACTGAATCTTCTCCGGGGGGTTCAGAAACAGGAGCTGAGAGCACACTAAGTAGGCTTTGCTCTGCGCATGGGTGTGGATTTACAACACGACACGGGGAGAGAGAAACCATCAATTATGACTCTGGCCGCGTGACCAACCCTCCCGCATCCGCCACGTCAGGGAGGAACCAGCCCCACTTGCCACGTCACATCCACCCACCCCATGCCACGTCACCCCCCACCCACCCTCTTGCATCCGCCAAATCCACCAACGACCCTCCCCACGTGACACGTCACACCCACCCTCCCCATGCCACGTCACCCCCACCCACCTGACACGTGTAGCGCCGTCACGCGCCGCTCCCGTGTACCCTTCCAAGCCGCCACGTCAGCACCAAGCCACACATCCCGCCACGTCACACGCCCTTGCATCTGCCACGTCAGGGATCAGCCAGCCCCACGTGACACGTCACACCCACCCTCCCCATGCCACGTCACCCCCCACCCACCTGACACGTGTAGCGTCGTCACGCGCCGCTCCCGTGTACCCTACCAAGCCGCCACGTCAGCACCAAGCCACACATCCTGCCACGGCACACCCTCCTGCATCCACCACGTCAGGGAGCAGCCAGCCCCACGTGACACGTCACACCCGCCCACCCCATGCCACGTCACCCCCCACTCACCTGACACGCGTCGCCTCGTTGAGCGCCGCTCCCTTGTGCCCTTCCAAGCCGCCACGTCAGCACCAAGCCACACATCCCGCCACGTCACACGCCCTTGCGTCCGCCACGTCAGGGATCAGCCAGCCCCACGTGCCACGTCATACCCGCCCACCCCATGCCACGTCACCAAGCCACCCACCGCACACGTGTAGCGTCGTCACGCGCCGCTCCCGTGTACCCTTCCAAGCCGCCACGTCAGCACCAAGCCACACATCCCGCCACTGCACACCCTCCTGCATCCGCCACGTCAGGGAGCAGCCAGCCCCACGTGACATGTCACACCCGCCCACCCCATGCCACGTCACCCCCCACCCACCTGACACGCGTCGCCTCATTGAGCGCCGCTCCCTTGTGCCCTTCCAAGCCGCCACGTCAGCACCAAGCCACACATCCCGCCACGTCACACGCCCTTGCGTCCGCCACGTCAGGGATCAGCCAGCTCCACGTGCCACGTCATACCCGCCCACCCCATGCCACGTCACCAAGCCACCCACCGCACACGTGTAGCGTCGTCACGCGCCGCTCCCGTGTACCCTTCCAAGCCGCCACGTCAGCACCAAGCCACACATCCCGCCACTGCACACGCCCTTGCGTCTGCCACGTCAGGGATCAGCCAGCCCCACGTGACACGTCACACCCGCCCACCCCATGCTACGTCACACCCCACCCACCTGACACGCGGCGCCTCGTTGAGCGCCGCTCCCGTGTGCACTTCCAAGGTGCCACGTCAGCACCAAGCCACACATCCCGCCACGCCATTCCTAGCGAGTGCAAAATTTATAGAACAAGGGCCTAGCGTGTGCAAAATTTCAAGAACAAGGGCCAAGTGTGTGCAAAATTGCAAGAACAAGGGCCTAGCATGTGCAAAATTGCGAGAACAAGGGCCTAGCGAATGCAAAATTGGAAGAACAAGGGCCTAGCGTGTGCAAAATAGCAAGAACAAGGGCCAGCGTGTGCAAAATTGCAAGAACAAGGGCCTAGCGAGTGCAAAATTGCAAGAACAAGGGCCTAGCGAGTGCAAAATTGCAAGAACAAGGGCCTAGCGTGTACAAAATTGCAAGAACAAGGGCCTAGCGTGTGCAAAATTGCAAGAACAAGGGCCTAGCGAGTGCAAAATTTCAAGAACAAGGACCTAGCGAGTGCAAAATTTATAGAACAAGGGCCTAGCGTGTGCAAATTTTCAAGAACAAAGGCCTAGCATGTGCAAAAGTTCAAGAACAAGGGCCTAGCGAGTGCAAAATCTCAAGAACAAGGGCCTAGCGTGTGCAAAACTGCAAGAACAAGGGCCTAGCGTGTGTAAAATTGCAAGAACAAGGGCCTAGCGAGTGCAAAATTGGAAGAACAAGGGCCTAGAGTGTGCAAAATTGCAAGAACAAGGGCCTAGCGTATGCAAAATTTCAAGAACAAGGGCCTAGCGAGTGCAAAATTGGAAGAACAAGGGCCTAGCGTGTGCAAAACTTCAAGAACAAGGACCTAGCGAGTGCAAAATTTATAGAACAAGGGCCTAGCGTGTGCAAAACTGGAAGAACAAGGGCCTAGCATGTGCAAAATAGCAAGAACAAGGGCCTAGCGTGGGCAAAATTTCAAGAACAAGGGCATAGCGAGTGCAAAATCTCAAGAACAAGGGCCTAGCGTGTGCAAAACTGCAAGAACAAGGGCCTAGCGTGTGGAAAATTGCAAGAACAAGGGCCTAGCGAGTGCAAAATTGGAAGAACAAGGGCCTAGCGTGTGCAAAATTGCAAGAACAAGGGCCTAGCGTGTGCAAAATTTCAAGAACAAGGGCCTAGCGAGTGCAAAATTGGAAGAACAAGGGCCTAGCGTGTGCAAAACTTCAAGAACAAGGACCTAGCGAGTGCAAAATTTATAGAACAAGGGCCTAGCGTGTGCAAAACTGGAAGAACAAGGGCCTAGCATGTGCAAAATAGCAAGAACAAGGGCCTAGCGTGTACAAAATTTCAAGAACAAGGGCATAGCGTGTGCAAAATAGCAAGAACAAGGGCCTTGCGTGTGCAAAATAGCTAGAACAAGGGCCTAGCGTGCGCAAAATTGCAAGAACAAGGACCTAGCGAGTGCAAAATTGCAAGAACAAGGGCCTAGCGTGTACAAAATTGCAAGAACAAGGGCCTAGTGTGTGCAAAATTTCAAGAACAAAGGCCTAGCGTGTGCAAAATTGCAAGAACAAGGGCCTAGCGTGTACAAAATTGCAAGAACAAGGGCCTAGCGTGTGCAAAATTTCAAGAACAAAGGCCTAGCGTGTGCAAAATTTCAAGAACAAGGGCCTAGCGAGTGCAAAATCTCAAGAACAAGGGCCTAGCGTGTGCAAAACTGAAAGAACAAGGGCCTAGCGTGTGCAAAATTGCAAGAACAAGGGCCTAGCGAGTGCAAAATTGGAAGAACAAGGGCCTAGCGTGTGCAAAATTGCAAGAACAAGGGCCTAGCGTGTGCAAAATTTCAAGAACAAGGGCCTAGAGAGTGCAAAATTGGAAGAACAAGTGCCTAGCGTGTGCAAAATTGCAAGAACAAGGGCCTAGCATGTGCAAAACTTCAAGAACAAGGACC